ATTCCATAACCACTGGATGCATGTATAAAATAAGGTAAAAAAAAATTGTTTTCCTTTTTGTGGAATGTCGGCCAATTACTTGCCCAATTTTCAGCCGACAAAAAATCGAACCCGATTTTTGGGCTCCACAATTAAATGGCCTGGGCTAATGATTTGACATCAAGCAACAAATTAACAAGTATTAACTAAGTCGTTTACTTTATAATAAGAGTCTTAATAAATGTGAAATTAATGAAGAAAGAGCAAAGCTAAATCTTCGTCAAACACGAAACAGTCGTACCGTGATGAAATTTGCGGGAAGGAAACATGTGATATTACAAATATTCTCAATTCTCGAGCCATGAAAATTTGAGAGAGAAATGTAGAGGAGCCCTTGGGTTTTGTATAAATGACAGTATTATCCTCAAAGGCTTCTAAATCCCAATTTGTCACTTTTGCTAGACTCTCCCCATCGCTTATCATGAAAGATCGCCTATACTATGCTGGCTTGGGAGTGTAGTGTACGTTTACTCGTTCGAGGATCAAGTAAAGCCTCACCTTATAACGTATCAAAAATTACAATTCAAGTGTTGAAAAACCTTTAAATCGATAATCTCAACATGAACATTATAGTTGTGCATGGGGTCGTGGTGGTAGCAACTCCACACCCTAGTCATCACATTATGGTTTTCATTCCTATCACTAACACTACATTCTAATACCTTCAAAAAGCTAACTCCTAATCTACTTGAAAAACGGGTAGGGCTTATTTCTCTACTGAATTACCTAAAAAAACAAAAAGTTTTCAAATTATGAAAACAATGTATATTGCAACAAATCATCTAGACCAGCCATTTCACCCTAAAAATAAGTGTTCACAGATATGCAAGATCTGTACCATTTTTTTAGTTTCAAATTTTGCTATTGATATTGAAAATTAATTTTAGAGTCATCATGAAGGTTTCCAATGCCAAGAGCACTCTCTGGATGAGGATTAGAGGTGAAACTTTATTTAGTTTTCATAAAGCCTAGGTCCTATACAAACTTCTTACCCCATGTAATTATAACTAGATTATTATTTTTTAAAGAAAAGGATTTTGGACTTTGAGCTCTTGAACATCTAGATCATTAACTCCAAAAAAAATGGATGGTCCCAATGCAATCTTGAGATGCCTTTTTCTTTAGGCACATAGATAGTGAGTTAATATTTTGTCTTCTTTGAAATTGGTTGCCGGGTTCTAACATCCACAAAATTTGGGATCTAAAAGATACACCTGGTGTAAGTTTTACCCGAGGGAGTAGATGGACAGTGTACTTCAATGGAAGTAGGAAATATTTTCGCATCACAAAAACCTTGCCTTATTGTTATTTATTTTATGTGTGCAGTTGCATCCGTAGCTATAGAGGTAAGGTGTGCCTTCAAATTTTATCATGGTCTATAATTTTGATGTAAAATGTTTTTAGGATTATCTCAAAATCTATTTTTATATCTAATTATAAAATTTTAAAACTACCTTTTCCGATGGATTTTTGAGGTGCATCCGTAGCTTTACATTATAAGTTTGCGACCTTATATAAAAATTTTCTTTATTTTATATGGAAATTTGCATCGTTTTCAAGAATTTTCATCAGGATAATTTTCTTGGTTGGACAAGGAAATAAAGATCTAGGTTTTAGCTGTTAGGATTTAGGGTTTAGGTTTTGTTGCCGGACTTATTATCCTCTTTCTTATCCAGAGAAAGGTGTTGCTAGCAATGGTGAAATGGACGGCACTACAATGCTAGCATGGCTCTTTAGTTTCATTATAATGGTGTAAACTAATAAAAATTTATGCCACATTAGTGGGTTGGAACATCTTAGAGCCAAGTGATGGAGCCCCTTTTTTTTCCTAAGACATGCATAAAAGTTTGATGCCTTTTGACTTAGATCAGTAAAGTTGTAGGAGATGCTTTGAATCCGATAAAAAAAGAACGTTTAGAAAGGCCTTGGTTCATTCTAGTCTTTAGGGCAACCTTCCCTTTCAAATTCTTGACTTTTAAAACAAGTCTCAACTAAAATCCAAACCTGGAAATAGTTTCCTCATCAAAGAAATCAAGAATCAATTGAGATTGTTAAATCTACCATACTTTTATCAAATTGAGAATGGGGTTGGCGTCATGGAGGTAGTACTACCTGAGCGATAAAGGTCATGGCCTTCATTCTCACTAGCACTTACAAAAAAAATTTACTCTTTCCAAATGGGTAGGGATTCCAATGAAAATAGGGTTGGGTCTTGGCGGGAATACCATTTGAGCACCGGTAGAAAGTCAAGACCTTCATTCTCACTAGCACTTTCAAAAAATTTACCCTTTCCAAATAGGTAGGGACTTGTAATCTCCCACTAATCCACCAAAAAAAAAAAAATTCTCATCAAATTCCGAAAGGCATGAGCACTGCAAACCATACCATACATGCAAAAGTATAGGGGTGAGGCTTGTATATGTTGTCAGCCTTATCCTATTGAAGTAAGATGCACCTTAAAACTATGCTGAAACTGCAATTTTGGTGCCGCAAATCCTTGTGATATGAAATCCATTGTTGCCTCCACTTATAAAATTTAAAGTTAAAAAAATGGTGAGGATCAAGTAGATCTATAATCACTTGAAAATCTTAAAAATAAATGGTTTAGACAATGTGTTAGAAGATAAACTATTTTTAGGACTACAAATCCCTTTTTTTTTATATCTAAGAATCTCATGGGGGAGATGATCAATTTAAAAGTTTTCCAATATAGAAACAACCTTCCCTAGTGGATTTTTTTAGGTGAACCTTAGTCGTACAGTACCGGGACAACACCTTATGTGAACTTTTTCAAAAGTATCGAGCACACAAGTTGGCGGTCGCACATCGGGCACAACATTTAGGGGTGGTTTCGTCATTTTTGAAAAGTATGCGCTAAATTAGCAGTAATTTTGGGTAATAATTTGTTCCCATCAATTGAAAGGACTCTATGATCCCGCGGGAGCATAAATGATTTGATATTATGGAATAAAACGTTGGGGGGAAGGTGCGGAACGTGATGTGCATGTGCAGTTCCACTGTTACTAAATTCTGATAATCATTACCTCACCAGGCCGCCCATGGCCCGCATGATGACGTCACTCACCGAAATTTCGTTTTATTTCTCTCCGTACGCCGCCTTCTTATTACTGTTATCGCGGCCCCATTCACAACGGTAATAAGTAGGGAATTTCATATCTACCCCCGCTGTAAATTTTTTAGAGAGAGAAAGAGATAGAGAGAGAGAGGGAAG